AAGGCCCTGTTCCGACCAGGATTCGAACCCAGGACCTATAATATACTGTAATCTGCATACAGTATATAAAAGATTATATCTATAATATATTGTGATCTGCATACAGTATATTATAGATTATATGTATAACATACGGTAATCTGCATACAGTATATTATAGATTATATCTATAACATACTGTGATCTGCATACAGTATACTATAAATTATATCTATAACATACGGTAATCTGTTATAGATTATATCTATAATATACTGTGATCTGCATACAGTATATTATAGATTATAACCTGTATGCTGTACATGACAAACCAAAGATGCGTTTATACTTTTCTCTTTACATCTGTGATTTTGTGTTTAATCTGTGGCTACATTATTGCAGCAGATCCTCAAATGTATTTGTCCATCCAGCCATCCATTTTCTTCCCCTTAATCAATTTCTGGGCCGGGGGGGTGGCAGTTAGAGATACCCACCTCGGTGGGTAGCATGTATTTGTGTTGTGTACATTAGAAATGTTCCATATCCCTAATTCATACATGTTTTGTTCAAATCTTGCTTGATCCAATTGTTCTATTCATAACCCTAACCCTATCTCATGAACTGGTTTAGAACATTTTCATTCATATGTTTTTATCTCATGAACTGGTTTAGAACAGGCCACAAAACAGTGAAAATGGTCACGACCAGCGATGAAATCTGGTCTAATGGCTCTGAGCCGTTGATAGTCCTCTGGGACTAAACCACTCATTCATTATTTCTTCTCTTGTGGCTTAAAATAAATTATTTATTTAAACTAAAACACATAGTTGTTTGTAGCAAAATGAAGGAATCATTCTGATGCCGTGACCCTGGTCTCTACAGTCTCTACACGAGCCGTGGTCTAAAACATGACCATGACTATAATTGAATAAATAAACTATAATTGAATAAATAAACACAAACTATAATAGAATACTATAAACACTGTGAGTCATAATCATCCAAATGATAAACACTGATCATATGCCATTTTTCTTGTGGTCAGTTTATATTATTGTTTCATATTTAAGTGAATGATGAATGAATGAATGAATTTGACCCACCCAGACACACTTGGATAACGGGGTTAAGACACTGTCCTTGAATCAGAACAGAATCAGGATCGCTGCCTCTGGACATTCAGAGATTTAGAAAGATTTAGATTTTCAGTCTTTTGGACACAGAGAAAACGCTGCTTTTGTCACGGATCATTATAAACATTTCCATGACAACGAGCGGCAGTCGGAATTCTTCCAAACAGGATGTTTTAAAGGAGACAGGTTTCACCAAAACAGAAGATTGCTATTTTTATTCGTCTTCCACTTTCCCATAAATTGGCCTTTTCATAGGTCGAGGTAGTTACCCAGTTACCTAGCAACCACAAAGTATAACAACGCTCACAGTCTATCAATTATGAACTGAAATATACCATAGACAGTATGGATGTATATACCAGTATATACCATAGACAGAATGGATGTACAGTATATACCATAGACAGTATGGATGAACAGTATATACCATAGACGGTATGGATGAACAGTATATACCATAGACGGTATGGATGAACAGTATATACCATAGACGGTATGGATGAACAGTATATACCATAGACGGTATGGATGAACAGTATATACCATAGACGGTATGGATGTACAGTATATACCATAGACAGTATGGATGTACAGTATATACCATAGACAGAATGGATGTACAGTATGTACTTTGTACACTGATCATCTTAATGTTTTCTCACAATAAATATATATAGAAACAGATACATATGCAACACTTTATTTTTTTATGTTTATATTTTATGTTTTATATGTTTTTCAAGTTGAACATTTTCAAATGATCACTTCTAAGACAGTCTTGTGAAATCACAATATCCCATTTTAACTAGAGCCACTAAATTTTTTTAACAAATCATGAATTACTTTGCACCATGTTTGTACAAAAAATGACTCATGTAAAATACAAAAGTCAACTCTCAAATGTTTAAATAAATCATGTCACACGGGATGGTGATCTCAGGAGTTTAAACTACTGTAGGTTTATGCGACAGTTCTAAAGTCATCGTTTAAACTAATTTAACTGTGATGCTGTGAATAAAGACACAGTTCTTGTTGGAAACATAGTAATTATTAAAGTGTATTCAGCACAAACAGAAAAACAATAAGTGGTAAACATCTGAGACATTAAATGTATTGGAAAATACACAGCACACTCGGATAGATGTCCAAAAGATCTAGTATTTATTACGTTTCGGCCTTAGCCTTCGTCAGATCCATTAACTTAACATAAACATCTGAGACAAACATGAACTATTTACAAGTGCAGGAGGAATGCAACAGACGCAGCTACGATTCAAACAAGACAGAAACAGTGCAACGAACAACTGCACAGTTTATAAGTTATATATATGTACTGTATATGCATATATATAACTTAGTCCACAGTCTCCTGTATATCAGGCTCTGAGCCCAAACTGCTTTTCCTTCGGTTCCTTCAAAGCACGAAGCAGTCTGCTCCGAAGTGCCTCGTCCATGCTCCTGCAGCCGATCCATGCTTCACAGAAAGTAATCACACACGGACCAATCACAGCGGAGCTTCTCTCACACACGGACCAATCACAGCGGAGCTTCTCTCACACACGGACCAATCACAGCGGAGCTTGTCTGCGGCGGTGGCCGCGTAGTATTCGATCCACGCGTTGCGCAAGTGACGTCTCGTCACCACCACCGTTAGCTCCGTGCAGTGCACTAGGCTTGATTGCTTCAATTTGAGCTAATTTGAGAACAGGCCAGCGGGCGACTCATCTGGTCCTTACGGGCGACCTGGTGCCCGCGGGCACCGCGTTGGTGACCCCTGCCATAAACAGTATGGATGTACAGTATATGCCATAGACAGTATGGATGTACAGTATATACCATAGACAGTATGAATGTACAGTATATACCATAGACAGTATGGATGTACGGTATATACCATAGACAGTATGGATGTACAGTATTTACCATAGACAGTATGGATGTATATACCAGTATATACAATAGACGGTATGGATGTACAGTATATACCATAGATGGTATGGATGTACAGTATATACCATAGACAGTATGGATCTACAGTACATATCATAGACGGTATGGATGTACAGTATATACCATAGACAGTATGGATGTACAGTATATACCGTAGACGGTATGGATGTACAGTATATGCCATAGACAGTATGGATGTACAGTATATACCATAGACGGTATGGATGAACAGTATATACCATAGACAGTATGGATGTACAGTATATACCATAGACGGTATGGATGAACAGTATATACCATAGACAGTATGAATGTACAGTATATACCATAGACAGTATGGATGTATATACCAGTATATACAATAGACAGTATGGATGTACAGTATATACCATAGACGGAATGGATGTACAGTATACCATAGACAGTATGGATGTACAGTATATACCGTAGACGGTATGGATGTACAGTATATGCCATAGACAGTATGGATGTACAGTATATACCATAGACGGTATGGATGAACAGTATCTACCATAGACAGTATGGATGTACAGTATATACCATAGACGGTATGGATGTACAGTATATACCATAGACAGTATGGATGTACAGTATATACCGTAGACGGTATGGATGTACAGTATATGCCATAGACAGTATGGATGTACAGTATATACCATAGACAGAATGGATGTACAGTATACCATAGACAGAATGGATGTACAGTATATACCATAGACAGAATGGATGTACAGTATATACCATAGACGGTATGGATGTACAGTATGTACCATAGACGGTAGGGATATACAGTATATACCATAGACGATATGGATGTACAGTATATATCATAGACGGTATGGATGTATAGTATATACCATAGACGGTATGGATGTACATTAGGCCCACTTGTATTGATATTTTGTATATGTTCTAGTTTATCTAATGATAAATGTAAAAGATATTTGCCATCGAAAAGAATGAAACTGTTGTGGTTTTAAAGCTATAGAATAAGTATTAAATATGAAGAATGAGGTGAAAAGAGCAGTAAACTCAATGATCTCTTCTCCTCTCTGTCTGCAGCAAAGGCACGACCAAACTAAAGCCTGTGGAGTAGGTGAGAGCCTCATGTGAGCCTCATGCAAGTGCGAGTCTAACCCTCCATCATGTCAGTCCCAGTAGGATCCATCATGTCAGTCACAGCAGGATTAAAGGCTAAAGCCCCTCACTCTGCATTAGCCACTTTGGAGACAACACACTGACGGCTGCAGAGACGCACTTTCAAACAAACAAGACACAAATTCACTGCACAACACACTACTAAAAATGCTGTATATGAAGATGAATGCTAATATATACTTTATCGATTGCCAGAAAAATAACGTTAAAAAACATCCAAAAGGAAGTAAATAATATACATCTTTTCATTTGACAACTTGCTTTTGTTGTTGAGAAATCAGTCTAAACATTGCATTCACTTTCACTCATTCACTCATTAATTACACAAACGCTGTAAGAAGGATTATGTGTCTTGCCTAAGGACACAACAGCTGATAGAACCAGCCGGGGAATAAATCAAGAACATCTCAGCAGAGAAACAGCTCTATTTTTAGACGTCTTATAATTGTATCCAATCAGCATCATTCCCAAAGTGTAAAAGTCGTAAATAACATTCATTGTGATAATTTTCACTCTTTGTATATTTCAGATCCAAATAATCAGTGGAGGAAAGTCTATTTCAACCAAGTTTAATTCATTTTTTGCTCTGACAACCAATGAAAGAGTTTGTGCTCGTGTAAAGAAGGAAGAACTCTTTTATTTAACAAACATATCTGGAAACATATTTGTTGTTTTTAGCGTTCTTTCCACTTTTTTATTATTGAAAAAGAATTTGCCCCATCACAAATCTCTGCTTTCATCTGTCATCTCGTCACTCACCTTCCGATCATAGTAGAGTGCTGCTGCACAGCGGCCTCTAGGAGGCGCTCTAAGATGGTCCATTCTCCCATGGCTGCGGCCCTGAGGCAGCCGCCGGGGGCTGACAGTCGCGGTGAAGACCTGGGGCGTTGTTTGGGTGTTTCGTCTACGCTCTGCTCCTGTCGCCACAGCTCGTGTCCACTTTGTCCCGGATCGACGAGCTCCAAGCAAGACTTTTCCTCTACACACTTCTCTTCTCCAGACTTCAGTCCAGACCTCGGCCCAGTCTGGTTCTGTCTGAACTGTCTGCGAGTGGCAGTCAGCACCTGGGCAGCGTCAGGCGGGACACTGGCAAGGAACCGGTTCAAGCAGAGTCCAAAGCGGCGCAAAGCCTTGATTTTCTTGTGCTCTTCTCTCTTCTGGTCCTTCCTGTCCTTTCCCAGACTCTCAGACATATAAAAGAGTTGTGGAGGTTCACTGCTGCATGTGCTTGGATTCCAAATTGGATCTGCCTCTGCGACGTGAGGGGCTGTCCTGTCCCTCACTGTTTACCTCTGATCGTCTGGACAAACACACACCACCATCAACACAGCTCCCGTCAAATCCTAAATAGTTTGTGCAAATCCATCTTATTTTCTCTTCTCACAATCGCTTCTCTTGAAAGCATTCAGGTCCATCATTTCATGTGGAGCACTAATGATCCAAGCTTGTCTTTCATCTTCATTGTGTCCAATTGCATTGAGCTGAAATCCTGGAGAAAAGCACTTCTCTCCAACGCTCTGTTGCTTCTGGGTCCTCTTCCTCCGCCACAAGAGCGCTCTCTCCTCAACCACAAACCCCTCAGTCCAACACTGACAGGTTGTGCTTGGACGATCTCACCGTGTTTGGTAAATTCCTTCCCTCCTCCACTCCTCCCTTCATAGTTCTCTTTTCATTCCTCCCTTGTACTGTACGTTTGACCCAGCACCTGCCTGTGTGGATCCCCCGAGCACGGGTGAAGGCAGTGACCAGACCAGGCGTGTGTCTCCAGGATTAGAGAAAGGAATCATCTCCCCACGCAGCGCTCCTCCCCCTCTCTCTCTGCCTCTCTACCTCTCTCTGCCTCTCTCTGCCTCCCTCTCTCGGCCTCTCTCCCCCCCATCTCCCTGCCTCTATCTCTCTATACCTCTATCTTTCCCTGCCTCTCTCTATCTCTCCCTCTCTCTGTCTCTATCTCCCTCTGTGTCTCTCTCTCCCTCTCTCTCCATCAGTGTTTATCCCTCGCTTCCTCCACCGCCTTCTGCCTCTGAGCTCCACAAACACACACCATTTTTCATTATTTGTGTTCATGGCACAGACTGTATGACTATATGACTGCATGACTGTATGCCTGCAATGCTGTATGACTGCTTGACTGTATGGCTGCATGGTACCTTTTTCATTATTTGTGATGTGTTCATGCTTTAGACAGAGTCATGGCACAGACTGTATGACTGCGTGACTGCATGACTGTGTGACTGCATGAATGCATTGCTGCATGGCGGTGTGACTGTGGCTGTGTGGCTGTGTGGCTGTGTGACTGTGTGACTGTGTGACTGTATGACTGGGTGGCTGTGTGGCTGTGTGACTGTATGGCTGTGTGACTGTATGACTGTATGACTGTATGACTGTGTGACTGCGTGGCTGTATGACTGTGTGACTGTATGGCTGTGTGGCTGAATGACTGTATGGCTGTGTGACTGTATGGCTGTGTGACTGTATGGCTGTGTGACTGTAGGCTGTATGACTGTGTGACTGTAGGGCTGTATGCCTGTGTGGCTGTATGGCTGTGTGGCTGTGTGGCTGTATGACTGTATGGCTGTGTGACTGTATGGCGGTGTGACTGTGTGGCTGTATGACTGCTTGGGCGGCACGGTGGCTGAGTGGATAGCACTCTTGCCTCTCAGCAAGAAGGTCCTGGGTTCGAATCCCGGTCAGACCAGGGCCTTTCTGAGTGGAGTTTGCATGTTCTCCCCGTGTCTGCGTAGGTTTCCTCCGGGTACTCCGGTTTCCCCTACCACTAAAAATATTTCCAATAGTTCTGACATGCGCTTCCTGTACTGGCAACCCTGCTCCCATCTCTGTGTGGAGTGAGAGACAAATGCCCAAAATTAACAATTGTAAACCGCTTTGAGACTCAGATCTGCAGTGAAAAGGCGGTATATAAATAAAAACTTACTTACTTACTTACTTACTTGACTGTATACGTTCTCACAGAGCGTTCTGTACGCTTTTTACTGACGTGACGCTTGTCTAACAAGTGGAAAGAGAGCGTTTTGACTTCTCTTGCTCCTTCCTACCCTCCCTGCTCCTTTTCATATATGTCCCAGACTCTTCCACCGCTTTTTGAAAACTTCCACTGAATAAACACATCACTTTGTAAGCGGGAATGTACTAGTAGTTGCTTAAACATTACAGATACAGGGAAATATTTACTATTTTAAAAAATTTAAACAACCAACCTCCTCCATTTCTGTCATGGTAGTTATTGTCCGCGGGGTTGTGTAGCTGTTGGAGAAAGCTCCTGATTGGTCGACGCTCGCTAATGTCTTCAAAAAGATTTTTAACTATAGCGTCGGCTGCGTTGGAGCACGTCAAATGCTTGAGATTTCAAAACGCGCAGCGTCCACAGTACAAAGCGCTTGTTAGTCGACTAAACACCTGACGAACCATTAGTCGATGAAGAAGCAAAATATCAAACATCACCCAAACTGAACTCACAAAAATGTGTTATTATGATGATTAAAAAAAATTAGACATCCATTCCATTTCCATTTTCTTCTGCTTCATCCGTTGCCGGGTCGCGGCGGCAGAAGTCCAAGCAGATATTCCCAGAGAGACCACCACCCACAAAGGGATCCATGGCGGGCAGGTGCAGAAAGGACTGGGCAGCGGTCAAAAAATTAGACATAACGGAAATATTTAGAGATTCATACAAATGATAATTTTTTGGTTTTGTTTGGTGTGGATGGGACAGATGTATCATTAATACATCTGTATCATTATGACATCCGGAGCACCCGGAGGAAACCGGAGCACACGGGGGAAACCTATGCAGACACTGGGTTTGATTTGGCTTGAATATCAAAGTATATACAAAAATCTTCTGCCATCTTACTCCATATCTTTTTAGTTTTGTCAGTTTTTAGTTTTCATTCAGTCAGATAAATCAAATAATTCAGTTGTATAATATTTTTCAAAACATATATAAAATGTGCAGCATCTAGGAGATTACAACTGGGGCTCGGAACAACATGCAAAACTTCCTACAAGAACGCTTCTCCTGGTTTTATAATAATGATGTTTTACCAACACTGGGCGACAGTGGCTCAGTTGGTAGAGCATTGGCCTGAGTCTAAAGGTTGTGGGTTCGAGCGCACCATAAGACCTACTTCACGACTCCCACTGATGTTTGCTGTAGTCCTTGGGCAAGACACTTACCACACTTTGCCTGAAGCCCCCACTGAAAGATCTCAGCTCCTGTGGACTCAGCACCTGCAGGAGGATCAGTGAGGGGCTGGTGCGATGTGTACTGGCTCGGGCTGCAACGGTTTGTCGACGTTGTCGTCAAAAATCGATAATAGAAATAGTCGACAATGAATTCCATTCTCGACTATTGTCGCTAGACGTGTTTTTCCAACAGAGTGAGGCATCCCCCGTCTCACAATCTCTGCAGGGAGTCACACATGTGCAAGAGCGTATATCGAGCGGAAACGTAAACAGTAATGGCGGCATCCATCAGCTCCGTGTAGAAAAACTTCTAAAGTTTGGGAGCATTGTAGTCTGGATACGGCAAATAAAAAGAGTACTTGCAAGGTTTGCAAAGCAGACACTGCGTATCACGGCAGCACCTCGGTGATGCACCAACATTTGAAGAGAAAGCATGGGAGAGACTATGATTCCAGACGCGTGGCCGCTTTGTAGTGAATAACAGCGGTTCTGTGAAGCTGCTTTGAAAACAGCGCGGCGAGCGCACGTCCAAAGCAAAGCCATAATGTGACCAGCGCGGCCAAAGCGAGGCCATAATGTGACCAGCGCGGACAGGACACGTGCGGATCTTTGTACAACCTGTGGACGCAATAAATACAGCGCTGTGAGAAGCTGAACTATGTGAGCCTCTGGAAGTGTCCCCCGTGTCTCCTCCTGTTAGCCTGACTCTCCCCAGACCCATGTAGTTCGCTGCACTTCACACATGAGTCTGGTACTGAACCATAGTGGTTGGATTTCACAAGGCAGGGCCTTGTAAAAAAAAATCCTTGTATGTGATTGGATAGACCACTTGTCCGTTATCTTGAATGAAGTCTGCTTTCAACCACTCACATCGAAGCACACGGCTCCCATAGGTTGCCAAATCGCAGCAAGATTTTCCAACCCAAAATCCGTAAGAATACCCAACAAAAAAAACCACTCAGAAGGATTTTTTGGCTAAAAACGTAATGTAATCAACTTGGGCTATCATGATTCTGTTTATTGTCTTTCTGTTTATTTAATACCTACAAGTCTCTTGGAAAAAAATATGCGGGAACCACCAAACCTGGCAACCCTGCTGCATAGTGTGTAAACAGGAACACTGAACCAGTGCTTCAACCAAACTTTACAGGAACATTTGACTCTTAAAACACACATAAATCAACATAGAACCATCAACATCTCGCCTCAAATTGCATTAAAAGTGACATCCGTGTCTTAATTCGATTGTATTTACTCTTTTAAAAAGATTCGCGGACTTTACGTCCGCCATCTTGGATTCCTCTCGCTGCTGCATGGGAGAAGCTCGAGAAGGCAGTGAAAACCCCACGTAACACCGGCAATCCTGATTGGTTGATTAAAAAATAATCTGGGGAAGGCGTTCGCTATGGCGTCGATACCAGACCATGGATCTATTATAATAACTGGATAGGGTATTACTAGCTTGTAGCTGAATAACTCATGTGCTCGGGGGATTCTCGCGGTACTGCAGACTAGACCAGACTAAATTCACGTGGGCTACCCAGAAATTTTCCCCATAGGACTCAATGCATATTAAAACAGCTCAACCTCAGCTGACAGAGAACCTACAGCTTTCATAAAGATCGGATTTTGTGGGGATTTTAGTGTCCCTTGTCATCCTGAACTTTTTTTCTTCTTAAAGTGGTTCTCACCCCCGCTCCTCGGAGCTTACGTTACTCACATTTCCTGTTCAAATCTTCCTCTAAATGGGCGTAGCCTGGAGGACTAAAGGGGGCGTGAACGAGACTGGGCCGTTTACATTGCTCTGGGCGGGGGGCTGCTGACGTCAGGTCCAACTTGCAGACGTCAGGTCCAACTTCTGTGCCAGTGTTGGCGCCAGATTCAAAATTAAAATGTAGTAATACAGGTCGCCAGCAGATGGCGCCTCACAGACGGTTTTAGGCAGAAAGTTTAACTTTCAACTAATTTGCACCAAAGTGACAAGATT